AATTTTAAATGATTAAAAAAATAACAATTCTTCAAAACATAAAAACTTGCTCCTTAATAATTAGTAGATGTGAAAACCATTACCACTGAAATCTCCCTGACGACTTTATATCCATGCTCAGATGCCAAGGAGCTCAGAAAGTAACCGACTGTGACTAGTAATAATCAGATATATAGAGATTAGAAACACATGTGCATCGTAGTGTCAATTGTGTTAAAAATGAATTTTTCTGTATGAAAAAAAAACTTCAAACAGGTCAGACTTTAATATAATTTAACACTTTAGCCTTCTTAGATGGAAACACAAATTCATCATGATCCTGGATTCTTATATATGACATCAAAAGCATGTACAGCAAAGAAAACATAGTCAAATTGGACTTTATCAAATTAAAAGTTTTAAATGTGTGCATCAAATTTGGGGGAGTCTCATCTGGGCTGCCATGTGTTGCTGGGGAAATTCAGGTTCCTTCTTGGGGTTCTTAGTCTCTTTTCTTAGAAGAATTGAAGAACGGATTCAAAAGGAAACTTGAGGAATATTATATTAAAGCTTAAAAGAAAACCCCCAGTGCAGGCAGCTGTGAATCTCAGCAACTGTCAGGAGGAGGGAGATGAAGAAAAAGCCGGGCCACTGGAGTTAGGCTGGCTGGGGGATCACCCACATGATGGACCAGTAGTCATGTGCTGCAGAGTAGAGCCTAGACAAAGAATGAAGCCCAGCGTGTTAGGGAAACAGTCCTTGGAAAAGAGAAAAAAGAAGAAAAGAGAAGTTAGTTTTCTGAATAATTCAGAGAAGAAGCCAGACTGAAAGCCCCATGGCAGCCACTGGAAGCACTTGCACCAGGGGAGGGATGTCACCAGAGGAGGAGGGATGTTGCCAGGGGAGATGTCACCAGGGGAGATGTCACCAGGGGAGGGGTGTCACCAGGGGAGGAAGGATGTCACCAGGGGAGATGTCACCAGGGGAGGGGTGTCACCAGGGGAGGAAGGATGTCACCAGGGGAGATGTCACCGGGGGAGGGATGTCTGGGAAGAAAAGTACACTAGCCCACAAAAAGGGTTCATTCGTCTCTTAGTGTGGTGTCAGGTGAATCCGCTTCCTGAAGGATGTTCCCTTAGCCATGAGACAGACAGGCCCAGTAGGTTAACTCTTAGGTCTGGGGTATCTTACAATGTCAGGTCTCCACCGAGGCCAGATAGATTCCATTCTCCTGACCAGGAGAAGTAGCTTTCCCACAGTCCAGTGCTGCTGTAACAAAATGACCTTATCAAAAAGGTGAAAGGACGCTGCATCTGAGAGAAAATATGTGAGTATCTGAGATGAGCTTATAATTCAGACAAATAGCACAATTAAAGTTTTTAAGAGGATTTCAATAGACACTTATCCAAAGAAGATGGCGTCTGATAGATGAATGCAAATTCACTTCATGTCCACAAGAATGACTGTAATACCTCCAACAACAAGTGTTGGCAAGCATGCAGAGAAATCGAAGCCCTCACTCCCCATGGGTGGGAGTGTAAAATGCTCACCCACTTACTTTGTGGTTTTTGTCCGTGTTAACTAGAGTCACCATAAGACTCAGCAGTTCAACTCCCAGATATATGCCCAGGATAATTTTTACATATGTGCACACAAAAACTTTTACAGAACATTTTAGCATAATTTTTCATATCAAAAAATGGAAATAATCTAAGTCCACATCAATCACTAAATGATTAAACAAAGTGTGGCACAGTCATACAGTGGACTATCAACAACAAAAAGGAGTTCTCATATATTCTACAACATGGGTGAACCTTGAAGACAGTGAAAGAGGTGAAATGCAAAGACACAAAGCACGGTGTGTGCATTTGTGTATGTGTGTGTTTGTGTGTGTGTTTGTGTCTTGTTTGTGTATGTGTCCATGTGTCTGTATGTGTGTGTGTATGTGCGTTGGTGTGTGTGGTTATGCGTGTGTATGGTTTTGTATGTGTGTTTGTGCCATTAGTTTGTGTGTCTGTATGTTTCTCTCTTTGTCTATATATGTATTTGTGGGTGTTTGTATGTGTGTGTTTCTGCATGTGTGTGTTTGTGTCTTGTTTGTGTGTGTGTCTGTATATGTGTTTGTGTGTGTGGTTGTATGTGTATTTGTTCCATTTGTGCATTTGTGTGTGTTTCTCTGTCTATATGTATGCTTTTGTGAGTGTCCATATATGTATTGGTATGTGTTTGTGTATGTGTGTCTGTGTGTGTTTATACATGTTTGTTTATGCACGTGTTTGTGTGTGTATGTTTGTGTCTGTGTTTTGCACATTTGTGTTTATGTGTTGTGTATGTTTGGGTGTGTATATGTATTGATGTGTTTATGTGTGCTGTGTGTGTTGTGTACATATTTGTATTGTATGTACATGCTTGTGTATTGTGTATGTTTGTGTGTGCTGTATCTGCTCTATATATTTGTACGTGTTGTATACATTTGTGAGTTTATGTGTATGTTCTCTCTGTTTTGTGTGCTTGTGTGTTGTGTATGCTTATGTGGTGTGTATGTGTTGTATATGTTTGTGCTGCAAGTGTGTATGTATGTTTATTTTGTGTGTGTTGTGCGTGCTTGTGTGTGTTTACGTATGTGTTTGTGTGTTGTTTTGTATGTTTATGTGTTTTTATGTGCACTTGTGCATGTACTTCTTTTGGCATAAAATGTACAGAATAGGCCAATCCACTAGGACAGAAACTGGAGGGGTGGAGATGGATGTGATCAGGATGGGGTGGCTCTTAGTGGGCGTGAGCTTCCTGTGAGGAGTAATGAAAACGAGCTGGAATGAGACTGTAGAAATATTCTTTACAATAAGTTGATTAGTGTCACTAAACCCCGTAGTATATTAAGGCTGAAATTTCTTAAGAAGATTTGATCCTTGCTGTCTAAAAAGAAATTCCACATGATCGGGAACGACGTATTGAAGGTCAGCCTTTGAGTGCACTGCCATGGGAATGTGAATTCCATCACCACCAATGTTTCCTTTGTTTCTTTTTTGTTTCTTTGTTCGTGGCTGTCCTGGAACTCGCTGTGTAGACCAGGCTGACCACAAACCCATAAAGATCCACCTCCTCTGTCTCCCAAATCCTGGGACTAAAGGCATGTGCTATCATTTCCAGTTTACCATCATGGATTTGCAATTGTCCCTGCGTCTTGTTGCACGTGACATGGCTTTTTTGTCACCATGGGTGAGAAATGGAGTCCCAGTCTTTAAACAGGATACCCCAGTGCTGCTAAGCCCAAATGCAATGCATATCCAAGAGCAAGTTTCTGGCCTTGCCTTCTCCCTCAGATCGAGGAGAACTTCTTGTCTAGGTTCAGAGCCTCGTTCTTCCCAAGTGGATGTGGACTATGTCCTAGAATCCCAGACCCTGAGACTTGTGCAACAGGGATAGTGGGGCCTCCAGAGGAGTGCAGGGTGGAACAGCTTTCACACAGCCCTGTGTCTAGTCCTCCCTCAGTTTTCCGTGTTGTCACCTTTGTGGTATCAGCTACATTTGCACAAAGCATGATCTTCCCCGCCCCCCACCCCCTGCATGTCATGGAGGCTTTGTTTAGCTCTAAAAGAACTTCAGTCACATGAGGAGCAAAGTGCATCCTGCCTCCTCTCAATCCTAGTGACTCTATGGCCTATGAGTCATGTCACACCTATCACACAACACAAAATAAAGCATTTGAGGAGTTACTTGTGACTTTTTGGCCCTTCTTCCCTTCTTCCCTTCTTCCCTCCCTCCCTTGTGACCTTTCTTTTTCCTTTGAGAGAGAGTCTTGCTTTATAGCTTGACTGGTCTTGAACTCACTATGCAGCCTAAACTCACCTCAAACTTGCAGACACTCATGCCGCAGCCTCCCCCAAGTGCTGGTTATTGGCATACACCACCACACTCAGCTCACTAGTCAAGGCTCACTCCGCGTTTCTGACAAGAGTCTAATGAGCTGAGTTCAATTCACACAAGCGGTTTCACTTTCCTCCAAACCCTGAGGAATCACGCCCCTCCCAAAGCTTCGGCCAATCACTGATCTTTCTACTGTCATCATAGTTTGTCTCTTCCAAGTATCATCCAGCTGGCATAACATGTTAAGCACCTTTTCCAAAGTTACTTTTTCCATTCAGTAATCCGTAGCCACATTCCTTTCATGTGTCTTCATGTTTGATTGCTCATGTCTTCTTAGCACTGAATACTGTTCCATTGTCCGATGTTATCACTGTTTATCAATTAACCTACTGAAATCATCTTGCTTGTGTCCAACTGAAATTACGGCTTTTAGCAATTATGAATTAAAGTTCATCTTAATACAGGCTATTGAAATTCATTCCCCATACCATGCTTCTCAGTCTCAAACATCCCTTGGAGAGGAGTAGGTGTAAAGATAGCACCAGAGTCAACGCTGTCCTAAGGTGTCAGTTTATGTGTTATCTGCCAAGTGGGCATAATAGGAAAACATTTGAAAACTTACCTGATAATGAACTTTTCTGGATTGTTCTTTTTCCCCAAACCTTGGAATTTCCATTGTCCAGACAGGTGATGAAACCTCTACCCAAATGAGAGAAATGTGGTTTAGAAACTCCAAACCATGCAACTGTGTGCATGTGGGACAGTGTCTAAAAGTCTTGTCTAAAATCACAGAATTATGCATGCACAAATAGGGATGCTAGGCTGAGGAGGAATGATAGTTTGATTGAGTTCATGACATATTTGGGGTAGTTGGTTGTGTGGTATAGGTGGGTTAACAATAACAGTAGTGGGATGATTAGGGTAATTAGGATTAGGAAGTTTATTGAAATAGTGATGTTAATTACTTTTATTTGGAGTTGCACCAATTTTTTGGTTCCTAAGACCAATGGATTACTTCTATCCTATAAAAGCTAAGCAAGCCGTGAATAGACACACATGCTCATACAAATGGAGTTGGAATCAAAGAATCCTATTACAGCATAGTTACAGCACATTCCTATATTAGCAAAGCTAGCAAGAGAAGCTATGGGGATCTGCTCAGCCAAAAATGTTGAACTTCCAGAGTGGTAGCATGGTAGTGGTTCTTGATACCTGTATAAAATAGGGTGGATAGGTTAGCCTGGTCTACATAGTGAATTCCAGGCCAGCTGTGGCTACAGGGAGACCTTGCCTCAAAAAGACAAAAGACAAAAACAAACCAAAATAAGGTGGGCCAAAAGAGTGAATATCAAATATAGGTTGCTAGAAAGAGCACCAGTAGCCACAAATGAGTTAGAGATAGTGGAGACCAGGTGATGGGGTGAAATATTTATTATGGAGCTATCATCTGAAGAAAAATGGATTTACATAGTCTGGAGGGAGGAGCATCTGGTTAGCAAGACACGATCTCCCTGGTCTGCTGTCTGTTCTAAGAATCAAGGAACTTACAGGATTTTTGAGGTATATCTTACTGATTGCTGGTGACATGCTGGCTTCAGGAACTTTCAGCAGAGCCAATGCTAGTCAAGGCTGAGTGGTTTCATGATGCGGCAAGCTTGGAAAGATGCCAGATGTATTAGCCCATTTTCTGTACAAAGAACAAAAAGTTTCAATGAGCTTTCCAGGCAGAATGCCTGAGGACAGGCCTTTTCTGTCTGCCTTGTTTAGCAAAATGTGCTTAACTGTTTCTTTTGGGAACTGCCTATAACTATACCCTCAACTGAAGGTAAATTGTCCCTTATCACCAGCGAAGTAAAATCCTTTCGTGGTTTTGTTGTTTTTTTTTGTGATACTAAAGATTGAACCCAGGTCCTTCTGTTCTGTAGACAGGAACTCTACCACTGAGCTGCATCCCTACCTTGCTAACATTTTTTTTCATTTATATTTCATTTATCTTATCATATTTATCATATTTCAGTTTCTAGGCTCATGAGTCCTTACAGGAATCACACAAGATCTGTAGGTTTTCTTGACTGGTATGTTGGGGTTGGTATCAGATCCAAGTTAGCTCGCAATTCTTTCTGTTCACGGTAATGAGCTAAAATGACATCCACAGTGTTTGTTGTCAAGTCTGAGAGTTTGGCAGCTTCCCAGCCATCTAACCTGGAGGACAAAGGTCAGCATTAATGAGCACAGTGCTCTGGGTGTCTCAGTGCAGATTTGCTTTAGTTCAAACTCCAATCCCAATGAGTCTTTTCAGATATGAGTGGTGAGAACAAGGGGCAGCATTGTGGTCAGTCCATCCATATCTTGGAAGAGGGTATCCTGGAGCATTGTAGTCAGTCCATCCATTTTGGAATAGGGTATCCTGTTGGGTAAATAAACACATCTCCTACTGGGCAGGGGCATCTATATGAGTAAAGTGTCAGGCAATCGTCTGCAGATCCTTAAAGGATCCTATGATCCATTTGGTTAATTTTTAGTTGTAAGCAATTTCACAAAGGCAATTATTGACATTCTAGAGTTCAAGCTTATTGGTTTTTTTCCCCCTCTGGTTTGATCCTCTCTTCTTTCTTCCCTATGGGTATCTTAAGCACATTTTTTGGATCTCATTTCTAAAAAATCCTTTATTGTTTTTATTTTATGTGCATGAGTGTATTACCTGCATGTATATAAGATCACCCATGCTGTGCAATGTCCATGGTGATCAGAAGAGGGCATCTCATCCCCTGGAGCTGGAGTTACCGTGTGGGTGCTGGGAACTGAACCTGGGTCCTCTCATGAGCAGTCGGTGTTCTTAAACGCTGAACCATCACTCCAGTCCCACACTCTTGTCTTAAAATGAGTGAAGCTCCCACATCCATCTTCCTAGGCTTTTCTGTGGATCAGTTTATCCCAGACTCTCTAAAGTAAAAACCACAGCACTCAGGAACAGGTTTTTTTGAGGAAGAGCTGTCATTTCCTGTTGCAAGACTCTGTTCAGTGAAGACTGTTTGACAGAACGCAGCAATGGCAGCAGTGGCTCTCCCCAATGACAATAAACAGAGAGCAACTGTCTGAGGCCAGAAGAGCCATTCTTCAGCTGATCCTGGGAGGGAGGAGTGCCCACAATGGGAAGGTAGATTCCCACAGGCAACGCTTAGCCTTAGCAGTGTAACGCCTTCACCTGGGACCCAATACTGGTGAGAATAGACAGGCTGGAAGCAGCAACCAGCCCCTTCTTTACACAGAAGTCCTACCTGCCACCATCCTGCAGCAAGTGACTTTTGAATCTAAATTATGTGTCTCCCATGGTGAGGAAGAGTAAGACAACTCTCACGGTCCTAGATGACCTAAGAGAGATGTAAATACATGGTCAGAAGTCCCCCAAGGTTCGCAGCACTGTCACACTGTCACAAACCAATGCCATTAGTGTTTGAGGCAGAGGTCGACGTATTTATTCCTCCACAGTGAGTGGCAGATTAAACAACGGCTACTTGCTTGAACTCACACACTAAGCCAGTATTAGTTGAATTAGTCATTGAATTCCCTCCTTGGCTATATGAGCTAATTTGCCGTATACTGGTTGACGTCTGCGATGCTAATGGTTTCCGATGCTTAGTTTATAATCCAACTGGACTCTCGCCTCCTCTGAAAGAAGTGTGTAGCTTGATCGGGGAGAGCCTGCTTAGTCAGGGTTTACTTAGCATGGTGTATAATGATGTGTTTGAAAGAATAATAGCTCTCTCCATCCCAGCACTTTGGGGAGTTTTGCAGAAGTGTTTCACTGGATTTTCTCATTCATTATTTTCTCCAATCATTGAACGATCCTTTCAAAAGCCACCAAAGCCCAGCAGTGCTGGAGTCAGGGACTATGGGGAGAGGCATGTGACAGCTTGGTGAGGGAGGCAGCCAGGGAAGCAGAGAATTCGAGCACAGATAGAAGTGTTGTGGAAGAAGATGGGTGTCGGAGTCAGGAGATAGCAACAAGCAGACGGAGAAGACGGAGGAAACGAGCCGAAGGCTGTGAGTGCCGGCCACCCCCAGGACATTACCCCGACATTGGGAGAACACAGGCAAAGAATCGGATCTAGTTTCAATGTACGCGCTGCCTTGTTTAAGGGATCCCAGGCTTTCCCCTCTTCCCACCTTCCCAGCTACCTGGCCAAGGTGCCTAAGCCACGAAACACCATTGCCACGTCGCCATGTCTTCTAATAGTTTGTGTATGTATTTGGATATAAAATCAGCCAAGAGGAGCTGGAAGCCATTTTGTTCTGGTTATAAAATTTGGTGAAGCTTAAGAAGTTGGCTGAGGACCAGGTTCTGCAGAGAACTTGTTTGGCAACATCTGCTTCCAAGGTACCTGGGGCTGCTGCCTCAATCAGTCAGACTCGATTCTCTGTGCCCTTATACACATCTTGGGAGCACAGTTCTCAGGCACACAGCTCAGGGTGGGGAAAGCTGGCAAATAGGTGCCAGGACAACCAACGTCTACTAAGAGCACTTTGTTCACACCCGTGTTCTTTCTCCCTGGGAGAGAATCTCTTGCCATCATTATCAGTCAAGATTGATGCCTTTTCTCTCCCTCTTCTTATTTTTCTTTTTTATTTCCTCCAGGGGAGATGATTTATTGAGTACAGTAGCCCAAACTAGAAAACATCTAATACCCTATCTATTAGGCCAGAACCAATGGACTTCCTACTCCGTTTAGAAAGCTGTCTACACCGAGCCAGTAACAGCTGTGCTGACAGTCCAGGGATAAATGAGGAAAACGTTAAAGCGATTTAAAATGTGTGACTAAATGACTTAATTCTTTGATGCTTCCCTCGTGGAGGAGGACTGCTTGGCAAACTGATGTATTACTGGAGATAAATGCAGCAACTTCCAAAGGCTGGTCATGGTCTTTTGAGCTTATCTAACAACACACTTTATTTTTATTCTCTTACGATTTTGTACATAAAAATATAATGTGTTTTGGTGATAGTCTCCCTGTTATCTTCTCATGCCCTTCCTCTACCCATGGAATCACCTCTTCACAAGACCCCTCATACTTTAAACAGATACAATGTATACACTTCACACCCAGAAGTTTCCATA